TTTCTGAGTGTCATTGAAGTCATCGTTGATTTACGTTTTCGGGGGCGGTCATTGAACGCCTCTCAAGCAGAAGGCACGGAGACCGAGAAGGAGAAGGACGTGCCCGTACAATAGTTGCTTGAGTTGTGTATGTTTTAAAAAGAACTGACACGACCGCTCTTTGTTTTCTATCGTTCTGCACCGCTGCGGAAACTGCCGTGTGAACGCAAGTGGGGCTGCACCGGGGTTAACACGCTCAGCGGCTTTGTACGTGTGAACACTCCACAAAATTTGCTCCGGTATAAAATATATCGCAACAAAATACATCGGTGCAGCACCGGAGCAAACGTGTGCCGTGTGAACACCCCTACGCTTAAAACTGCCGGGTGAGAAGGAAGCCAAATTGGGTGAAATAGCTAACCCAGTGCTGGGTCCAAAAGGGACCGAGCCAATGCTGGGTTATTTGTACCCAAGGCATTGGGTTAAGGATGTCGCCCGGCACAAAAGACGGTACTGGAGCCTATTCTCCATTGCGAGACTAATAAAGGTTTTCTTATCTTCTAAATGACTGATGCACAGCACACTTGATAGGGCGAATTGGAACTCACCCCATGAATTCGAAATGAGAAGTGGCACATGGAACCTTGCGGCCATCCATGAGGTGTTCAATAAACGTCAGGAAATTGTACTGTATATCCCGACATATTTTTCTTTCAAATTTTAGGAAATGAATGGCAATCTTCTGTGATTTTTTTCCCCCCACAATACAAATACAAAAATATAGACCCTACAATTACAGTACCAGTCGAAAGTTTGGAAACTGCTCCAAATTCAATGTTTGTCTTTGTTTCCTACACTGTAAAAACTGAAAGTTATCCAGACGACGCAGCAACTCCAAAGGAATAATGAACTCAAATTAACGATGTTCTTGAACCCCAAATGTGTTTTCGATTCTTCCAAGCAGGCACTTTTGGCCAAGATGATAGATTTGCACATCTTGGTATTTCCTTCATCAGCTGGATGACGTGGACGCTGCGTTACAACCTGGAAAGACTTTCAGTTGACAGCAGTGCATTTTGGAGAATTGATAGCATGAAGTTCTTGACCTCTCCATTTGTTTTGAGACCAGTTGAATTTGAAGGTGTGCCTAAACTTCTGACTGGTACTGTAATTAACACAAATAAAACGCAACTATCCAATGGCCAAATAAATATTCAGAATATACAGTACAACCCTTTACGGCAGGGGTCCCCAACCCCCCGTATCG